GGCTGGGCATGGTGAGAAGTGCAGCAATGAATGAATGAAAATCCAAAATCTCTGTAAATGTTCATTAAAATTACTAAAATAAAACAACAACAACAACAAAACACCGACTGAAACAGCACATCAACAGAGAGCTGTCTGAAGTACAGGCTAGATTTAGAAGAGGGCATGGCACTAGGGATATTATAACTAATGTCAGATGGATCTTGGCTGAAAGCAGAGAGTACCAGAGGAATGTCTATCTGTGTTTCATTGACTGTGTTGATCACAACAAACTGTGGCTGACTCTGAAAAGAATCAGAATCCCAGAACACTTGATTGTGCTTATGTGAAACTTATACTTGGACCAGGAGGCAGTTGTAGGAACTGAGCAAAAAACACTGCATGGTTCAAAATTGGGAAGGGTGTGTGTAAAAGATGTGTCTTATCTCCATATCTTTTCAATCTATATGTGGAACAGATTATCTGGGAGGCTGGGCTTTATGAGGAGAAGTGTGGCATCAGGATTGGAGGTAGACTCATCAACAACCCTACTTGCTGAAACTGAGGAGGACCTGAAGTGCTTGCTGAGGAGGGTCAAGGACTGCAGCCTTCAATATGGATTGAAGTGCAACATCGGCAGCATCATGATGGATGATCAAGAGATTGAGATTGTTGACAGCTCCAGTTTGCTTGGCTCTACAATCAACACTCTTGGTACCACCAGCCAGGAAATTAAAAGATGAATTACATTGAGAAAAATCTACTGTCAGAAGCCTCTCCAAGTTACTGAGGAGCAACAATGTCAGTCTTGAGTCTAAGGTGTGCCTGTACAGGCCATGGCCTTTGCCATGCATCAGAGAGCTGAATAATGACTAAGGATGCTAGAAGGAAAGTTGATGCCTTTGAGCTATGATACTGGAGAAGAGTATTGAATATACCATGGACTGCTAGGAGAACACACAAGTTCACCCTTGAGAGGGTGAAGTCAGGATGTTCCTTGAAGGCAAGCATTCAGAAACTCCGTCTCACATATTTTGGACTTGTTGCAAGGTGGTATCAGTCCTTGGACAGGGCCGTCATGCTTGGGAGGGTGGAGGGACAGTGCAGGAGAGGAAGACCTTCGATGAGATGGATTAATTTTGTTACTGAACTTGGAGAAAGGATGAAAGTTATACAAGTTTTCAGGTCTTCCCTTCATAGGGTCGCTATGAGTTACCTATGACTTGACAACACTTAACAACAACAACAACATAGAGAGAGACAGAAAGTGATGCTACCAAGATAAAGGCAGGTGACTTTAATCTGTGGCCCTCAGGCCTGTTTTTTAATGGTTTTGTGTCAAACATTTTTCTAGGTCATATAGCCCTGGTCTCTCCACTTGCTCTACAGAGGTAACTCATGGTTGCTGAGAGGCTGAACACTATGACACTGATGTGTCAGGCATGGTGATAGGCATGTTGGAGACAGATTGGCAAGGGATAGAGCAGGGTTTAGGGCTGTTGTACATAGGGTCACTATAAGTCGCAGGTGA